ATACACACACACAGATACACATGCACACATACTCATATACACACACAGATACACATGCACACATACTCATATACACACACAGATACACATGCACACATACTCATATACACACACACAGATACACATGTAACACATACACACACAGAGATACACATGCTCTCTCTCTCTCTCTCTCTCTCTCTCTCCAGAGACCCAAATCTTTTTTTTAATGGCACCTCTAAGATGCCTTTAGGTTGCTACAGACTTTAGGTATGTGGACATTTTGAAACGTTCTGGGAAGGGGTAGACCGATGGAGCCACACACACCGCCTGCCCCCCATGCCCTCAGGGAGAGACAGGGAAGTCTGAACACTGGCTCACAAAGACTTCTAACTGACCAGTATCCTCTGCCCAGGAGACAATTTCTACCGCCCCATGTTCTTAGGCTTTCCTGCCCCATGCTGGACAGAGCTGTATCAGCAACTAGTGTGTGAGTGTTTGTCTCTAAATATTTCAGGACGTCCATTGCAGCTCAGCATCTCTCTGGGCATTCTGTTTCCTGGGTGGCACTGCCAGACTGTCTCGGCTTACAAACCATGGTCTAGCTCAAGGAAAAACTTTGAAGCCCTAAGGATGCAGTTCATGCACTGGTGATGGCGTGGTGTGGGGTGCAGTAGAACAGACACGCACACAGACACACACACACACATCATGACCTGCCCCCTCCTATGTAAGAGGCATTCTGGCTCTACATACTGGTAACTATACTGAACCAAAACTGAAGAAAGTAAGTCCTGGTCACAGTATGAGTCTACGAAAACAAAGAAGTGATTAATGCTTTTCTGTTCTTCCCACCCGCCCCCAAAACCTCCTGGCACATCCCCTATGGACTGGTCTTGAAGAGGGCAGATGGCCCATGCCCCTTGCTACCACTAGGGGCTATGATGAACACACAGGGGAGGGTAAGCCTGGGGCTTGGAGACCCCGAGTGTGGAAGCTGGAGGCCTAGGGAAATGCTGATGGAAGGCTCTCCTGAATACCTGGGAAGGGTTGAGCAAGTGGCACCGTCATCAGAGGGGGAGGAACGAGGAAGACCTGCCACCAGCCAAGCTACCCATTGCGCTCCCATTGCCAACCAGGCCTGAGCTGATACTGAGCAAAGCATCACTGCGGGGTACCGATTGTTTTACATATCGTTTGAATATTACTTCTTCTGACTCAAAATAGCACAGCAAACCCCTCTCCACCTAGCCCCCTCCCACAGTTCTGATTTGTTCCCCTGAAGAACCTCCAATCCCTACATATCCCATCAAATCCAGGTGTTCCAGGTGGAAGAGAGGGGGAAAAAAACGTGGAGATCGTTAGTTCCCTGGGCTGCCTGTACCCTGTACTAATGGTGCGGCCCCTTTTCTTCTGCCCGCAGATCCTCCATGTGAATTAATCCCATGATGCAACATGCCTCCCCAGCCCCAGCTCTGACAATGATGGCCACGCAGAATGTCCCTCCCCCACCCTACCAGGACAGCCCCCAGGTGAGTGTGCCAGGGAAGAATGGGGAGGTACAGTAGTTTTGGAAATCCCACGTGAGGGTGGAACTGGGCTATTCCTACCTCAGCTTTAGCCGGTCAGCCCTGGGGAGGCTTCTCTGGAGAGTCTGGTCTGGGGAATCCAGATCCTTGAAGAGTCATCGGACTTGACAAAACACCAGGCTCAGACACTGCCTAGGTTAATTCTGTCACCAAGACGGTAATCTGCAGTCTGTCTGCCACTCTCTCCCCGCAGACATTGAAAAGAACCGCTAACGCCCTTAGTCCTGCTTAGGGCAAAATGCACACTAGAGATCTCGGCATGTGATGAGCTTGTGAGTGTTTAGGAGACTCCCCATTTATTCCAGGACCAGACCTCCCGTCCCCTGGTCTCTTGAGTCCTTCAGAGCAGTACCTGGCTACCTGCCTGTTAGTAGAATCTCTTGGGGGCTTCACTGGGCTTCTGCCTAGAAAAAGCAGGATTCTTGGTCCATGACTTCAACTCTCCTTCAACCATTAGTTCAGCTCCCTGTTCTTCTGAGACTCCTTCCTGGCTGCAAAACCTGTGACCTTCAACAGCGGTGTCTTCCCACCACTTTGCTCCCTCTGGGGTTTTTGTTGTTTTGTTTTGCTTGTCCCCTGGAAGCTGCCCGCTTGAGTGGACTGGGCTGTTGCGGTCCCTGAGATCCATCCCGTCTTGTCTCTAGACTTTAGGTGTCTCCCACCGGCCCCTGAGTCTCAGTTCTCGGGCTAAGCTTTCACGGGAGAGTACACTTTGGGGGCTTTTACCTGGTGTTCTCACCCTTTCTCTAGGAGCAAGTCTGGTCAGTTCATACCAGCTCAATAATTACCTACTGCGTGAGTGGCATGTGAACCGCACCCACTAGAATGTCCCCTTGGCCTTTAACAAAGGGAGGCCCTCCTGCGCCTTCTCTGCAGCCCCCCATCCTATGACCTTCTCCATCCCTTGTACACCAGCCAGTGTTTCAAACACGATCATCCCCACAGACCACCTGAAAACGAGTACTCAGGTGTGGAGACAGGGCAGAGGGCTTTGTTCCCATCAGGACCTATGGCTTCCTGATGCCCCAGCTTTAGTGTAAGCCCAGCGCAGCTGTCCCGCACACAATGTCACTCCCAACTTCTGGGAAGTAGCCAGACGGTGTGAGACCGCTTTGCTGACCTCTCCTGGAAAGTACAGAAACCCTCAGCACTCAGCGACCTCCCGGCACCCGTTCTTTAGTCTCCAGGCCTGCTCTACACCACACCTTCGCGTTCCTTCTCTTCCACGTTAAGCAATGGGATGCGGATGGAGGCGATAGAAGAGAGGTGAAGGCGGAGATGGAGTGGGTGCAAGGAAGCAGGGAGTAAGGTTTCCAAACAGAGGCTCCGGCAGCTTCTGGTTTGTGGAAGAAATGCTGCTTTCTGCAGTCCTGGGATACTGGCCTTCGGAGTCAGATGGCCCCAGAGGTCGCTTTCCCCGTTCTTCGGGGCCAAGGTAAGCTTGGCCACTAGCATTCCATGCAGCTGGTCCCCCTGCCTTCCACCCTCTCCGCTTTCAAGAGCTAACTCCAGCTTCTCAGGGGGAAACTCTGCTCTATTTCCCTTGTAATGTCATTATCCTAAAGAACCAGCTGCTCTCTGACACCGTGTCTTCGGGAAAGCCTGGCCTTCTAATAGGACCGTGGGTCAGGCACTCAGGGGACTCATCTTAAATGGGGGACTCTCAGGAAACTCTTTCATTACCCCTTCAGGTCTAATCTGTGACTTCTCTTCCCTATGTGACACGACTCTGTCACCTCCCCGGAAACCCAGTTTCTTTCCCAGGCAAGGAATGGACAGTCTCTGATATGGAGTCCCCAAAATGAGAAAGGGAGCGAGAAGCAGAGCCACTCCTCGGAGACCCATGCAATCGTTTTAATAATGTTCCCGTTGTGCTAAGGGCTAGCAATACTGAGCATAATCTATTCAAATGCACAGGAGACTGTCACTTTGGAAAATTAGGAATCTGCATTAAAAAATTCCCAAGCCCCGGACCTTCTTTATAATAAATTAGAATTTTTTTTTCCTAGGCAAGTTCTTAACTTGGCAATTTTCATCTTGAAGTTTGGGGAATAAAGTTATTAAAAAGGAGGGAGCCTTTTTTTTTTCCTTTTCCATTTTAGTAGAGCAGCATTAATGGTTACGGCCCCATGCTATTTGGGCATAAGCCAAAGTGGTACGGTGGCTAAGTGACTCCTAGCTCTCTGGGCTGTTTGAGTTTGTCCAGGGGAAACTCTGTGACTTCTCATAAGGACATCATCCTGTTTATTATACTCTGAAGACTAACTGTATATTTAGAAATTGCAAAAACAACAACCCAGTAGAACCCTTCAAGCAGATACCTTCCTTCTCTTGGCTTTCTGTTTAATTCCATTGAAGCGACAGCGCCCTCTACTGTGTAACTCAAATACCTCATACTCTGGTTTCTCTTTAGATCACTCCAGGATATTTTTGTCTTTAAAAAAACAAACAAACAAACAAACAAAACTGTAACACCTTAATTCCAGTGTGCTGTGTCTGTGCCCTTGATCCGGACCCTCATTTTATGCACTGAGGAGATACGGGTGTACTGCTCAAACTCAGAGTTCTATAAGTATTGGTTAATGAAAATGTTGTCTCCAGGGAGGTTAGATATGAAGTAGATGAAGGGACCCTCAGCTGAATGCATCATGTTGATTCCTAGATCACTGTTTCTGTTCTTATGCATCTCTGTCACAGTGGGCCCGGCCATCACAGTCGCTGAGATTTCTACAGCCTTTGCTACTATCCAGAATTGCTGCCAACTCTAATGGAACCCTCAAAGTCATGTCCCTTTATTATATATTTATAAAATACCAGCAAATGCCACTCTGCTCTCTTTTCTAGAATTCTCGTAGTATCAACCACCCTGTGACTCCTAGTTCTAGTCATATAGAAGGTGTTCATATCCTCTCTTTCCACCTCAGAAATACCTGGAAGTCCTCCTGTTTTTTGTCAGGCAGCATATGCCCCTGAAGCATCTTCCACCATGCCAAGTTCTCCCTTCTGTAGCTCCATCCGAAAATCCAGGAAACGGATTTGCTAGTGAGGGCAACAGCTTCTCCACCCTTCCCGAGCCCCAGGAAGCACAAGGCAGCAAGCCCCACCCTACCCTTCCTCAAACACAGACACCCACCGACTGTTCCCTGAGTGTTCTTGGTTTACAGGCAAGACACATACTTAAATCATCTGGTCTACTGGTGTAGATATTTGACGTTTAATATTCTCTCTGTGCATCTCCAGCTACCCCTGCTGCATGAGCTTTTGACCAGGAAGCAGAAATCTTAATGGATCCTTTTTCAGCTCCGGTGGATGTGGCACTCAGGGAGTAGGGGAGATTAGGAATAAATGATAGACAGGTAGCTTGGAGTTGACACTGAATGACATGGCAAGACTTGCTCTGAGAGGGACTTTGGCAGTTTACTCAGGACTGGCTTCCTCGTTCATCAGAGGGCACAAGACGGCAACTCAGCTGGGGAAGCTCCCTTCAGAAAGAAGCCCTTAGATAAAAACAGAATTCCACTGCTCTCTCCCCCTGCAGCCCTTGGAGTAAAGAGGACCGTGTCAGGAACCAAGGAAACTGCTCTCATAGATCCAGGCTCAAAAGGATGCTTTCCTCCGTTCCTGCAAGGGAAGATAAGACAAGCCAGAGGCCAGACTACACAGCATCCTCTCTTGCCCCACGTCCCCGGCTCTATCCTAGCCCTGATGCTCCAAGGAGAACCAGGGGTGCATCAGGCCTGGGGAAGCTGGCTGGGCTTTGATCAGTCATTAGGATCCCCATGCTGGTTTCATTAACAAGGCAGAAGGGGGTGGATGGGGCCCCTGGCTGTGAATGGCCTCCATCCAGGCCGTACAGCTGTGCTGGGCAAGCAGGTTCAGATGTTGTCGCGCTCCTTTACATCCCTCTCATCTCTTTAAGGCCAGGAGCCCCCTGCCTTGCAGGGTCCTCTGCTCAGCTGCCTGTGAAACACATTCACTTTGCAGCAGAGAGTTAATTCATCTGCTTTCAAAGTTCTCCTAAGCCTTTTCTGCGGCTGTGATTGACAGTTCCCGCTGCCCCTGGGGGCAACACCCGAGGGACCATATGGGAGACCCATCTTCCGTCGATTTGACTCATCAAAACAGATTCTTCTCTTTCTTTTATTTTGTTGTGGGCCTTTCTTCCCTTTATATTCAATGACCTTTTTCCCTGCCTGCTTGGGCCACCCATGTCTTTAGACTTGGATTCTTCATTGTAGAGAAAGCAAAAGCAAACTCCAGGTCTAGCTGGGCCCTTTCTGCCCCTGCATAGGAGATGACGGACCAGCCCCAGGACTAGAAAGCCCGTAATAAACATGCTCAGAACCTTGTTTAGGTTTTGCTGTTGATTAACTTACTACTTCAGTTTCTGCCATCATCAGAAACAGAGATCTTATTGTCTAACTTCCAGTCTCCAAGCAGGACAAGTGCCCTAAACAGCTACAAAAATAGTTAGCAGCCCAAGGATGCAAAGCCTAAAATAAATCAGGGAACAGGTGATTCGGGTCAACAGCAGGGCTGAGGAGCACTGTACATGCTGTGTCCTTTCCTGTGCCATCTTTGGGGACTCAGTGTCCCTGCGAGCTAGCAGGAGGGGCTAGGTGAGTAAGACACCAGGATTCCTGTTGCTCTTGGAGTAGGTGGTCTGGAGAGTAGGATGTCCACCACAGCAGGCAGCCAAACATCTTGGGACGACCCTCGCCCTGCTTCTGCTATAGTCCACAAATCCAGGCGAGTAATTTCAGGAACGATCGCTTGCATTGGCTCATCTTCTTGAACAAACACTGAGTGCTTCCTGCAGGCCTTGCCGACTGTGTGCTATGGGTTGGAAGTGTAGCATTAGAGCTCCTGTCCCAGTGGGGCCTTGGTTTTTGCAGGGGTAAAGAGGAACTTCTGCCCTTCTTGCCTTTAACCTGTGAACGCTG